AATGATAAACTGCATAATTGGAAGTTTTGCCTTTAAGTGACCAAGTGATGCATTTGTTGAGTTTTAAAAGAGTGTAAACCTTCCTTCCCTCTTCTTTTCTTCTCTCTTCTGCTTTCCTTCCCAGTCCTCTCTCTGTCCACTCCTGTACCCACCACCATCTTCCTACCCTTTCTTCCCTCTCTTTCCACTCCCTTCTCCCTTTGGCCTTCCACAGACTTGGTTTACTTTCTGGATGAACCAATATTTTTTTTTTTGGTTTTTCGAGACAGGGTTTCTCTGTGTAGCTTTGCGCCTTTCCTGGAACTCACTTGGTAGCCCAGGCTGGCCTCGAACTCACAGAGATCCGCCTGGCTCTGCCTCCCGAGTGCTGGGATTAAAGGCGTGCGCCACCACCGCCCGGCTGGATGAACCAATATTAAAAGACACCAAAGAGAAGATGGTAGCCAATAGAGGAGAAGATCAGATCCTCTTCATATAGGCCTCTCCAAGAGCAGGCTTATAGAGAAACCTTCCTGTAGCCCTGTTATGCTGCAGCTTGTCATTCTAAGGCACTCACGTTATTACATCACCAGAGTTCAATGTAGCCATTCAACTGAAACCATAAAGCAAACATGATAACTAATGTAGATGCTATACTGTAGCCGTCTTTTTTCTTAGTTTTAAAATTTTTAACTAAAGTATAATATGTATAAAATATAATGTAAAATATCACATTATTTCTCCCCTTTTCTCCCTCCCCATGTTTCTCCCCTTACTCCCTTTCAAACTCATGGCCTCTTTTTCTTTATTTTTAATATACACAAACACATAAATACAGCCTGCTGAGTCCATTTAGTGGTGCTTGGATGTATGCTTTTTAAAATGCTCTCTGTATCCTACAATATCTTTTCTAACAGAAAGATTTTCAAGGGCTTGCATTCTTTCAAAATACCCTACAAAATTCCAAGACCCCCCCCCCCCCCCAACAAATTTCCCTTTAAAGCCTTATGCAGTAGGGTCTTCCCTTCCTCAGGTGACATCTGACCAGAAGGAAAGGTTTCTTAAGTGTGGGGCAAGAAATAAAATGGGAAGATGGTAAATGTCACTAAGGCAGGCTTAAGTACAACAAATCTTGACTTCCCCAGAGAGTTCCTGAGATGGAACCCGTTTACACCCTATGAGCAGGCGCTCAAAATCCCAGTCATATTCTTTCCTGGCTTTTCAGCAGCCAAAGGAATTAGGGATTACCACCATCTCGGGGTATTATGGTGTGTTGCTGACAGTCAAGAGGCTTCACTCTGTCCTAAGCAGATGAAGGGTTAAATTTAAGAAAGCACTTCAAGCTCTAACGTAACCATAGGAATAACATGTTCAACACAACAGACATCAGGGTGGGACTGCCCCCAAGGGGGAACTGGGCATTGTGCCAGAGACCTGTGGGGTAACCTGCCCTGTTGGTTCTATGCAGGGTTAATAGAGAAAAGCAGGAGATTGCATTGCTTAAAGCTGCAGACCAGCCAGCCTGTAGGAGAAAGAGCCTGGCAGAGATCTAAAATGTTTCAGATTGTACATTTACCAACAAAATAAAATCACGCTTCGCATTGGAATGTACTAAGTAGAACTTCATCTCATCCAACCTTTCCCTTCTCTTTCTCCCTAAGCTAACAATCAACATATGCAACTTATTAACATAACTGAGCATGAACATTTCTTATTTCTGTGCAGGCTTTGTATGTCTGTTAAATGAACAGATTTGTCTTCTTTTTTCCTGAAATATTCATTTGCCTAGTTAACAAAAATTCACTGGCTTAAACTGTTTTTATAACCATCCTAAAGACTCTATAAACTCCATCATGTTCTGAGTGCAAGAAGGATTAGAACGGAGGGAACATGATGAAAGTTGCATGTGATTACTTTCCTATTCTTACTTTCCTATTCTTACTTGACTAATTCAGGATATTAAAACCACTTTAGGCATTTTGACAAAAGTAGTTCAGTGTAGCTCTCTCTTTTTTTTAACCACTCAAAAGAGAATAATTCTCTATGTTTAGGCAGTTTGGAACTTGTACTTACGGACGTTGAAATTTGGTCTTTGCTCTTTAGTGAGGGGGAGTCAGGGAAGAAAGGTCCCCGTGTTTACCCACTGAATAAATATGCCTCTAGGCAAGGCTCTGTCTGGTGCTTTAGTCCATGGACTTTTAAAACATCTATCTTGGCTGCTCCACAATCCCCATGTTAATCACCTCATCTTCCCGCTTTAGGTGCCTCCAGTTCTAATTCAAAAAAATTATTTGGCAAAGTAAATGATCCATGACCCAACCAGGAAGGGAAGATAAAGGCTCTGGAATGGTGAAAAATTAATGCTGTAAAATCCATGTGCTGTAGATTTCTTCATATGGGAGTCCTTGCTCAAACTAACAATTCTGGAAAGTTTACATATCCAACTCAATAATTCAAAGACAATTAAAAAGAATAAATTAAAATTGTCACTGCTGCTACAGAGCTTATTATTGCTCTTAACTTTTATTAAGCGTGATTGCCCGTTTGACTCTGGTAAACATTTTACACACATTGTTTCATTCATTCATTTTTTTGGTGTGTGTGTGTGTGTGTGTGTGTGTGTGTGTGTGTGTGTGTGTGTGTGTGATAGAGTCTCACATAGCCCAAACTGGCCTGGAACTTACTATGTAGCTGAGAATGACCTTGAAATCCTGATACTCCTGCATCTGTCTCCCGACTGTTTGGATTATGGGCACTCACCACTATCCCTGAACATTTGACTGATTATCCATACCACCCCAAAGTTAAATACTGTTATTAGCTCCATTGCACAGTTGCAGAAACTGAGGTTTGGACTCTAAATTTTAGAAGGACTAAAAATTTACCAAATCTGTGTAAATTTAGTATAGACAAGCATAAAGGTTACGGTGTGAAGGATTATTTAATAGCAAATGAGTATTAAATATAAAGAAAAAATCCAAGATGCTAGAGAGCCTTAATTTGGAAACAGATTACTTTAAAACTCTCAGTAGCTGTCGGAGAGCTGCATAATGTCACGGCAGTGAAACCAGTTGGTTTGTGTAAGACAACGGAAATAATTTAAACTATGCCTCAAATTGCTCACTTACTAATGATAAGGAAATATAACATTGTCATAATTATAATTGTCCTCCTGGTTTGTAATTGGTGAAGGTAATATGAACTGTAATTTTTCTTCTCAGCAGTAAAGAATGCTTCGATGTTCTGAAAATTTAGAATAAATTGTCTGATAATGGTGATTTTTTTTATGTGTAGTTCATTTTTAAAATAATTGCAAGGAAGATAGAGAACAAATTCAATCTGCAAATGATTCTACTTTCCTTCTTAATGCCTCTGCATTCAGATTCAGCTAGCCTAAGCAGTCAGCTTGCTGGGGTTTAGGCATATTCCATCACCAGGATTTATCCCACTATGCTAATAAGGGGAGTTGATGATTTTTAAAAAGAGACTTGGGACCATGGCTGAATTGGTGTGTGATTTGAAGTGGCCTTATATAACTCATTACTGCAATTAAAATAGCTGTCCTGATTCTTGCTTAAAACAGCCACATGAATCATGCCCAGCATAAAACTGTGATTTGGCATAAGAAGACCAAGTCAAATATGAAGCAGACTCATTGTGCAAGAGACAAGTAAAAGCAGGGTACCTGTGTGCTGCCAGGAGCCACCTGAGCAGCTCAAGGGGGCAGAAGAACCCTGGGTAGGTATATTCAGAATCAGCCAAGGACTTTATGGGGTTGCTGCAAGTACCCATCAGAAGTTTGCCTCTCTGGCATCCTTACTCTAAGTTGCCTAGATCTGTCCATGGTAAAGATTCTAAGAAAATATTGCAAGGAGAGACCCTTGGGACTGAGTAGGTAGGCAGGAGAAAGGACTGAGAGGGGGCTTGTAGTTTGCTTTCTAAGTGAGAATTAAACAAACGTCCCAGTGTGGATAGAGTACGGGTAAGTTACGTGAGACAGACATAAAAAATCAAGTCCCAAACCACTGTGGTCATTCAGAAATGTTTGTAACTTTTCACAAGGGCAGTGGTATTACTCCCAATTTCCTGGCTAAATATTTATTAAAGTAACCAAGGACTGAGCACATGAAGCTGCCTCACATCGGCGCAGCATCCTACTTTCCTTCTAGCTCTGAACTGTGAGGTACTGTCAAAAGAAAAAAAAAAACACTCTTCCATACTCAAAATAGCTACGTTACGGAGGAGAGTTGGAACGTGTTCTGGGAGTGGGTGTGTTTGTTTGAGTTCAGTGTGAGCAGAAAAGGCAAGCCTCCACAGTCATTCACACACTTCTCTCCTCAGCGATGGCTACGCAGACAGGCAGAGCTCCAGCCCCACATCTCTGAATGGTAACGTACTTCTATAAAGAGGATTTTGTTAACTATTTTGAGGCATTTTATAAATAATATGCATGTGTGTTGCTGGATATAAATATATGTGCATATGTATATTGATTTATTTACTCAACTTTTGCTTGCTTTCTCCTGCGTCTGACTGTGTGCGGTTACTTGTGCGGTATGATTTCTGAGGTGTGAGAAAGAGTTTCTTTCTAACTCCTATGCTAGTCACTCAAAAATATCTCTTGAGTTGGCCCCAGCACAGAACCTAAAATCCCTAGATCGCTCTAAACATCTGATTTGGTCGCTGAAAGCAGCTTTTAACATCCAAATGTTACATGGAGATATTAGGCAGACACTAGAAATGAAAAACTATGTAAAACAAAGGAATACGGGGCAATTGTTTCTGATACAATGTTAAGTTTCAAAAGAATGCAAACTGACATGTAAAGTCTGGGTCATGTGCTAGTAAAATGCCATGGGGTCAGAACAAGTATATACACTCTCACTTCATGAACATGAGCCTGTGGTAAAAGAAACCCAGCATAGTTAGACAGATTTTGCTGATTTATATTGAAAGAGTGCTTTCCACAGTTTCTGATCCTCAGCTCCCTCTCTTTTCACAGTGGGTCTCACACCTCCCGGTGCTGAGCTCCAGAGGCTCCCAGTGACCTCTTGGTAATCAGCCTTGGCTGGGTCCAAATCCCCACCCCTTGGAAAACTCACAGAGCCTGCCTGACATCTGCCTGTGAGTCGCGTTCAGCAAAGACCTCACAGGCAGCTCCCCAATCTCTCTTGGTAGCAAATTGCCAAGCCAGGCCCGTTTCCTCAAAAGATGGTAGAGGACTTAGCAGCGTCCTATGTTGCTCTGAAATTGGAGAATGAAATCCTGCAGGCTCAAGTGAAGAGGCTTATGGAAGAAAATGCTGCCCTCCAGGCCCAGATACCAGAGCTCCAGAAATCCGGAGCAGCCAAAGAGGATGAACCACTCGGAAAGTCCTCAGAGGCCCAAGAGCCCCCAGAGTCCCCAGAGCTACTGGAACCTCCAGCAGCCAGAGCCTCACAAAAGCCCTGGGAACCCCCAGCGACCACAGAGTCCGGGGGAACTCCAGATTTCAAGCAGCCCAGGGAACCCTCAGCCATTAGAGAGCCCAGAGAGTCCTCAGCCACCAGAGAGTTCTTGGGACTCCCAGAGATCAAGGAGTCCCAGAAGTCCCCAGAGACCAACGAGTCTGGGGGACCCTCAGCCATCACAGAGTTCAGGGGATCCCCAGAGGTCAAGGAGCCCCATTCATCCCCAAAGTTCAAGGAGTATTGGGAACCCCAGGAGCCTCCAGAGGTCAAGGAGTACTGGGACCCTCCAGAGCCCCCGGACTCCACAGCAGCCTGGGGACTCCAAGAGCCTTCAAAGGCCAAGGAGGCCCACAGTCCCCCAGAGCTCCAGGAGCTCTCAGCCTGGAAGCCTCCAGCAGCCAAGGAACCCCAGGAGACCCAGAAGGCTCTGGAGTCCCCAGCCACCCAGAAGCCCCACGCATCCCCAAGGGGTTATGATTTCCCAGCAGTCTGGGAGGCAGGGCCCACAGACATCCAGGGTACCCCAGCCATCAAGGAGCTCCAGAATTCACAGCTCCACAACCCTACAAATGATGAGGAGTCTCAGAAGGTTCCAGAATACCAGGAGACCTCGTCACAGCTGGAGCCCCTTGAGCATCCAGCCACCCAGGAGCCTCTGGAGCCTCGGGTGCCCCAGGAGCCCGTGGACTCCTCAGATGCCGAGGAGTTCCTAGAACTCTCAGTACCTGAAGAGTCCCTAGAGGGCCTCATAGTTGTGGGAACAGGAACAACTTCTGCGTTTCCACAGGCCCACAGCAGATTAGAGGCTGCAGCTTTGCCCCTAGAGTATTTGGCCTTCAATGGGGATTCTCAGAAACTCGCTGAGTTTTTAATTCAGTTGAACAGTTACCTGAGAACCAGAGGGCACCTGTATCTCACTGAAGCAGCTCTAGTAAACTTCATTGGCAGCTTCATAGGTGAGGCAGGAAGGTGGTTCCAGCCCTTAGCAGATATCCAAAACCCCCTGCTGGAACAATTTGGAAGGTTCATTCGAGCGCTCCAAGATATTTTTGACAATCCAGAAAGTATGGAAGTAGCTAACCAAGGCCTCCCTCAGCTGCGCCAAGGGGAAGAAGGCCCTGTCCACAGATCTGCAACCCGCTTCCATCTCATTGCTCAAGAGCTAAATTTGGATGAAAGCACATTCCGCATCCCATTTCAAGAAGAGCTTGCCAGTTCTATTCAAAATGAACTGTCTTGCAGAAGTCCAGCCACCAGCCTATCTGATGTGATCATTCAGTGTGTCACCCTAGAAGAGAAGACAGATGGTAAGGCTGATTCCGAGTCATCATCCTCTGAAGAGGAAAATGAGTCTGAGAGTCCACCAACTGAAAACCAGGCTCATCAAGCTACAAGTAATCGCCCCCACCTCAGTGAGGCTGAACGGGCCCGACGCCGTGAAGGCCACTTGTGCCTCTACTGTGGCCATCCTGGTCATTTTGCCAGAGATTGCCCTGTCAAGCCTCATCGTGCCCAGCAGGCGGGAAACATGGAGGCCCGGCGGTAAGGGGGATGCCGGGCGGGCCAATCTACAAATACGCGTCCCCCTCTCTCCCAATATCTATGTCCCGTACCCTATGGCTTACTGTTGAGATTCGACTTGGAAGACGACAGTTCTTTGAGCAAGCAATGGTGGATTCAGGCTCCTACAGAAACAGCATCGATCGCTCTGTGGTTCTTCGAGAGAAGATACCAATCCGCAATAACATCTTCCCTCTCATGCTAGAAACAGTTGATGGGCGTCCACTGATAAATGGACCTGTAACCAAAGAAACACCACCTCTTGAAGTCAAAATTGGAAACCACGTTGAAGAGCTCCAGTTTGACATTATTCACGCACCACGTTACCCTCTAATTCTTGGAATCCACTGGCTTGAGACCCATGACCCAAACATCGAGTGGAGCACCCGAACTGTGTCCTTTCCATCGCGTTATTGTCATTACAATTGCTTCAGGCACAGGTGGAATCGAAGACGGCGTGATGAAATAATTGCTGGTTAGATGGTGGGTCCTAGTGACTTCTGGCCATCTGTCTTCTGTTACCTCAGCTGTCATCAGCATTTGCTGCTCTCAGAATCTTCCACTGAACCTCTCTCTGGCTATGAACTAAGGCTACCTGTACAACGACGCTGCCTCTTGGATGATGGACTGAACCTGACGACTTTGAGCTGCTTTCCCCCACCAACCTTGCATGCCTCCCTCCCTCTCTGAACCCTGCATTATGTGGGGGCTATTTTCACTACTAGTCACACTAACAATATGCATGAGACTAGATATTAGAAACTAATACTGAAAAGTGTAGCTGTTAGGCTGATTTTTATTATTTTCTAATCAATATTACTTTATCACATATCTTCAGTTTTTCCCAATAAAAATAACTTTCAAGTAAAAATTTTTTGATAATCAATAAACAATGGCAACTGTTACTTGTGTTTAAGTTGATTTACTGGGTTAGCTGAGGAAAAGGGAAAGGGACCAGTAAGTTGGGAGGGAGGGAGGGAGGGAGGGAGGGGGCGGGAGGGAAACCAAAGGTGGGTTGAAGGGAGGGAGGCAAGAGGTGAGAGGGATGAAGGAGGGTGGGAGTCAAGGGATGGGAAGGATGAAGAAGGGAGGGAGGGAAAGGAGAGGAAGTGAGAAATGGAGAAGGGGAGGGAGAAAGGAGGGAAAGGAAAGGGAGAGGGGAGGGAGAGACTTGGGAAGGGCTTAAGGTTGGGGAGTCCTGTGAATTCCTGGAGTGATAGGTCAGAGGGTGGTAATATAAGTAGAGGGAGAGCCATAAAGGCTTGGGCTTAGGATTGGGTGAAGTGTGGAGGAGTAAGCAGTGATAAGGTTGAGAGAAGCATTTCGGGGAAACTGGGAGGAAATGAGAAGACTGCTGGGATCTGAGGGCAGGGGTGAGGGGAGGGAAAATTCTGACAAAGGACAGCACTGGCAGAGACACAAGCGACTTGGAAACTTCTTGGACTTCAGAAGCTGACCAAACAAAGAGCAGCAAAGCAGGTAATGATACTCCATTGATGACCTACCCCTCCCTGTAAATGGGTATGCATCGCTTATTCCCTGCATCACCAGAACTTGTCCTAGAAGACCTGACTGCTCCTATTATGGCATATGAGCAGGGTGGTTGGAATCACCTTTTAACATATATGGTTGGGAGGAGTCACCTCTCCCCCATTTACAGGTTCCTCTACCCTGCTAAGTCATGCTGCTTGCACATGGCACACAGAGAAAGCAAAGCCATGAGACAACCACGTCTTTGTGGCCTTGAAAGGGCCTAATGTCTTGACTTAAGTTACACACACACACACACACACACACACACACACACACACACACACATACACACACACGTTGGGGAGGGTTAGATCGCTGGGTGAAAGAGAAATCCGTGCCCATCTTAACTTTCTTTTGTGGTCTCAACTTCCTCCTTGGAATTTCACTGAAGCCACATGAATGAGATTGATCTTATATAGAAAGATGATCAAATAAAAAGAGCCCCTCATTTCCTCCAGTTACAATATCAGGCATCTTGCACACATTAATTATCTCATTGCTTCTAAGAACAATCTAGTAAAGCAGATGTGTATCCTTTTGTTTTACAATAAGCAGAATCCCAGCACACCTAGTAAGTCATACAGCTAGTAAGTAATGGAGGCCTCTGATCTCCAACCCCTATGCCTTTTCCACTACAGCATGCCAAACTCCCAAATGCAGTGGTGAGTGCCAAACAAGACTATGGAAGCAGAAAGGTAGGTGTGGTAACCCTAAAAAGGAGGAGAAATGGAGAGAGAAAAATTCATGGCCCTTTTAAATAGTAGGGAAGAGAAATATCAGCACATACGTCCTACATTTCTCTTCCCTACTTAATCCTACACTTGCCTAGCCTAGGTACAGGGACAGAATCACCTATATCTCTAACCTGGACAGCATAGTTTAACATAACACTGGCACACAGAAGGTTGTCCACAGCAACTGACTCAATATTTAAATATTATTCGAAGGGAGCTTATTTATACAATGTGGGTTTGTGTAGTGATTTTTTTCTACTCAAGATTCACTCCAACTTAAAAAAAACTTCAAGCAGCAACAAAAGAAAAGTAATGTCTCTTATTATTCAAACTCCCCTAGAGCTGTGAAGACCAAATGTGGATATTTCCCCAGGACTGAGGATTCATGGAACACAGAGTTTTCTGTGCAAAACTGGGAGAGTTCTGGGCAAAGTGAGATTGCTAGTCATCTTACCTAGGCTCTACAGCTTTCTATTTAGATATACTGATTAATTTAATGTACAACTCTTCATTTCAGAAAAGAATCAGTGCTATAATAATATAATCACATTATTATTATGAACTAGAAAAGACTCAAAAAAGCCTATTTCCTTAATCTTACACGTGGAGTTAAGGACGTTCAGAGAATGGGAAATTACCTACCATAAATAATATCACTCTGATATCCTGATATCAAATCCAGTGCTCTCTTTTCAGGTTGAGAAGCTATCCCAAGCCAATAATTAAAACTCAAGTCTGTGGTCAGCACTGAGTGAGCTTGTGTAGACAATGCTAAATAATGATGTGAGAGGATTATGTGGTCAAAAAGAGGAAAACCAGCAAGCATTCTAGACAGTTAGCAAGAATAATAGAGTGCTAAATTCTATAGTAACAACAAATACACTGAAACTGAAATGTATCAATTGGTGAGATTCACAAGACCTGGGACTGGAGATCCAGCTTAGCAGTTAAGAGTGCATGCCGTTCTTGCAGAAAACTCCAGTTCAGTTCCCAGCACCCACATCAGACAACTCATAAACACTTTTAACTGCAGTTCCAAAGGATCTGATGCCCCCTTATGGCCACTTTAGGCAACTGCCCTTACACACACACACACACACACACACACACACACACACACACACACAGGGAGGTGGAGAGAATTAAAAATAAAATAATTTTTAAAAGACTCATGAGAACTTCTAGTTAATGACCACTTGATTTTTCACAAACACTATGATAGATAAGATAATATCATTTTTACTTGTTCCCACTGAACATACATAAAAATCTACTGTACATTTATAAAAATCAAAGAAATGAAGCCCACTGAACTCAGATTTCTTGTCAGGCTTCATACAGCCAAGAACTGTTGGATGTTATAAACAAATCTTGAGTGCTGGGAAGATAGGCCAAAAAGTGCTTGCTGTGTGAGGATAAGGACCTGAGTTCAGATCTTCAGCACTTAAGTAAAAGGGAGGTGTAGAGGCAAGTGCCTGTAATCCTACATCTGGGAAGGAAGAAACAGGAGTGTCCCTGGAGCACACTTGTCACCTAGTCTTGTGAAACCTGTGAAATAACCAGTCACTAAAAATAAGGTAGAGATGAGAGAAGAAATACCCAACTCAATCTCTGGCCTCCACATCCCACACATAAACACACACACACATGCACACACTCACAAAATTTTCCTGTCTCATTCCAAAACTGGGATTCTGTTATGGAGATACAGCTCAGTGCTAAGTGTTTGCCTAGCATGCTCAAGCATGTACAAGGCCCTGAGTTTGAAAAAAAAGTTTAAAAGTAAGCGAGAGAGCTGGGAGCTTGGGTTTTAGCCAATATATGGCAGTGATTCTCAAGATTAATGTAATGATTCATAGGATGAGTGGCTTTTACTCTGTATTAGCCACCAGCCACCATAATAATATTAGTTCATTAGACATGAGTTCTAGTACCCTAGAAAATGATATTAGTTAATTCATAAATAAGTACTCATTCAAAAGAATATATTGAAAATGTTCTGTATGTTTAGCACAGGCATTGAAAGGAAGGCAGAAAAAAGAAAAGGAAGGAGATACAGCTATTTCTAAACTGCAACTCATAGTTACTGCTCTGATCACAATTTAATTGGAGAAGCTGTTGTGTTACAACACAGTGCTATACATCCAGGGGACAGAGCAGTGATTCTGCTACTGAGTAAAGAAAGGCATTTTGAGTTGGGTCTTGCAGGAATCTGCAAGAGAAGGGGAAGGGAAGGACTTTCTATCTCAACTCTGTTAGGCTAAAGATATCTACATAACTAAATAGTTCAAATTTTATCCTGGAAAATATTTGGTCTGGAGTATTTCTGTTTTAGATTTCAACATAGTTTTCTCTCCACTTCTAAAGTAATGTATACTTACTACAACAAATTAGTATGTGGCAGATATCTATAACTTAAAACAGTAAATGACCCCAACCCCTCTTCCTTGTCTTCTATTTCACAAGCTGGGAGATTTTTAAGTAGAAAAGTATAATCTGTTTATATTTGAGTGAATTGATAAGGCTATGGAAAATGGTAAGAATGAGGGGTCAAACTACCATCATATTTTTTCCTTTGTAGATTTCATGAAGATATCAAATCAAAGGAATTAAAGTAAATCTGGCTCAACATTCTCCAAATGTTCTTGAACAGGCAATAAAGCATACAGACATGTTCAGAACAATACCCCTACCATTAAGAATTTTAAAATCTAGTGATAGACAAAGGCTCATGGAT